GCGGCATATGGGACTGTCGTACACCATCTGCAGGTTCACCTTGTGGCCTACCAGCTCCCGGATATTGTTGATGCCATATTTGATCATCGTTGGGCTTTGGAGGAAAGCAGAGCACAACATATCCCAGGTCAGGTCCCCAGCTTTCTCTGCTTACAGCCCTCCTGGGCTTGTCTGCCTCCTCTTGACTCAAAGGCCCTGGTACCTCTTTTCATCCTCTTCTTGCCTTCATGTCCTATCAGTGTCCTCCTTGTTCTTGTTCTAACCACAATGGCCTTCCCATGAGCCCTCAGATACACCAGGGACATAGCCTCAGGGCCTTTGCACTGGTTGTTCCCTCTGCCTAGACCACTCTTACTCCGATCTCTGCAAGGCTTAAGCCTTTCTATACCTTAAGTCTGTGCTCAGATGCCCTCTCTCATCCATCTCTACAGCACTTATTTTCCTCAACATACTCCAGGATTTCTTTGTTGAACTGACTTATCCACCTTGCTCACTATAGATCTTCTCAACCCACTGGAACTTCAGCACCATCTCGATCAGACAGGCCAGATCCAGTCTCATGCACCTGCTGACTGTGCTCTAAACAAGGCAGACACTGAAGGTGCTCATATAATCTGCCAAACGAAGGACTAGTTGCCAGATGCTGAGGACCCTGGACTAATCAAGTCACTGAGAGAGCTGGGCAGCCAGACACCAGCACGCTCCCAGGCCAGCTGCCTGCTCAGACACTCACCGCTCCAGGGAGAGGCCCCACGCAATGACTGACACGTTCTCGGGGAGCCCCATGGGAAGCAGCATTTCAGGGCGAAAGATCCCGGAGTTCCCAACTTCCACCCATTTCTTCAGGCCTGGCGAGGAGAAAGGAAGGTGTGGGGGTGGTGTCAGGACAGGCACTGAGTTTGGGAGGGGGGCTGAAGGTACTCCTCCACCCCTAGTACCTTGGTGGTAGCTGAACACCTCCATGCTGGGCTCTGTGTAGGGGTTGTAGGCTGGTTTGAAGCGCAACTGGGTGATGCCTGGAGTTGAGGGGGAGCAGGAGGTCAAAATAAGGCTGGTGAGCAAGACGCCCTCTACTCTCCCGCCTGCCTGCTCACCCCAGCCTGCCTGCTCACCCAGCTTGGTGAAGAACTCCCGAAGGACGCCCATGAGGTGGCCCAGGGTGAGGCCGTGGTCAGCCACGACACCCTCGATCTGGTGGAACTCAGCCAGGTGAGTCGAGTCCAGGGTCTCGTTCCGGAACACACGGTCGATGGAGAAGTACTTAACTGGCGTAAAGGGCTTCTGAGGGGGACAGTCAAGCCCACAGCAAGGTCAGCAGGTGCATGAGACCAGACCGTCTCCCCCAGTCCCAGCCCCCTGCCCAGGCCAGGCCGCACCTTCTGGGCGAGGCGGTAGAGGGCGCGGGCACTTGCTGATGTGGTGTGTGTGCGCAGCAGGTTTTTCCGGGCCTCGTCCAGCTTCCAGGTGTATTTGTAGCTTCAAGAGGAAATGCAGATTGTACTATGATGTTCGCAGCACCATTATACACAATAATGAATAGGAAGAACATGGAAACAGCCCAAATGTCTATCAACAAATCACTGCACTGAGAAACTGGTATATTCGCACCATGGAATACAAGTATATTGTAGCACTCAGGCAACAATTCTGAAAAATACTATCTGACCCAGGAGAGGCTAGAGAGCATTATACTGAGTGAAGTAACTCAGGTGCTTAAGAACAGATACTGTGTAAGACCATTATTGTAAAAAAAGAAGGATAATCGGTGAGATTTGTATGGACGTATAAAGAAGGGAGGGGAGGAGCTGGGGGCTGAGGGTGGGGGGAAATCACGGGTCAAAGATGGGTAGAGGAAGTGAAAAAGAATGTACATGAATGAAGCATTAAAAAAAAAACCAACAGGGGAGCTCTGGTGGCCTAGTGGCAAGGAGCTGCAACTACAATTCCAGAGGCGAACGGTTCAAATCCACCAGATGCTCTGCCGGGGAAGGAGGGACAATCTCCTCCTGTACCAGTCAGATCTGATTTGACGATACACGCACACAAAAATAATAAAATAAAATAAATTAAAAAACAAAACAAAACAAAACAAAAAAGCAACAAAACACACCTTAAAAAAAAGCAAAAAATGGGGGGTGGGAGAAGAGGAACTGTGGAGATGTCCACAGGAGTCCTGGGCCCCACCTGCCTTTGCACCCACATTCCTAGGTTCTCACCCCTGTGAGCCGTAGCCACCGTGAGAGTGGGTCCGCTTGACCCGCTGGACGTAATCCATCGGGAGCTGCAGAGCCTCGGCTGGATCTGGAGGAATCAGAGGATCGGCTGGTCAGTCAACAATTATTTAGTCGCCAGGCCTGAAGCTACTGAGGGGAGGGAAGATGGTGACCGGGCAGCTCCCTCCTTTGACGAGTAGCCAGAGGGTGGCAGCAAGTGCCTGAGTCATGACAGCTTTTCTCTGGTCCGCAATGACTGTGGCTCCTGTCTGCCGAAACTGTACACAACACCTCCCTCCAGTCACATGGGCCAATTCAATGACGTGTGACCTCCCTTTCCAGTCAGCGGAGGTTCCTTCCCCTGGATAGCAGCATGGCTCCTCCCTCCCCTCTGCTCTTTGCCTCAACCCTTGCTCATGAAGTCATTGTGTTCTAATCTTGCCAGCTTCCCCTGATGCATCTACTGCCATCTGCTCCACTCTCCAGCTTATGCGAGAGGTAATGATCTCCCCCCTCTAGAAGAAGGTCTCACCAGGGCAAGGCCCTCCCTGTGCTCAGTCATGGTTGTGACCTGCACATTTCACAGAGCACCAGACACACAGCAGGGACTCATCAGACGTCTGTGGCACAGAAGTGTGGATTCTCATGTCCTTTTAGAAGCATGACCTTAGTGCCTGGGAAAACCTGAGATGGGATCCTGGCTCCACCACATCGAAGCTGTGTGACACTGGGCAAGAGACCTTTTCTCCCTATGCCTCAACTTTTTCATTTGTAAAGCAGAGTTAGCAGAACCAACTTGCTAGGGATAGTGGTGAACGAAGAACAGCACCCTGCACGGTCTAATTGTTTTGTCAACGTTGGGTGCCAGTGGAGACAAGGGGAATGTTTGTCAGCCAATCACCCAAAGACTTGCCTGCCCTTCTACCAGGGAGATAAGACACACAGAAATAAACTTAATTAAGCTGGGATCACAGGACAGAGACTGGGAACAAGGGTTTTTATAGAACTCAGGGAGAGTTCTAGTATATAAAATTCCAGTATACAAAGATGACCTTTCTGAGGTGGCATGCGTGTGGGGATGTATTGCCAAACAAAGCACTCTACGGGCAAATGTCCTGGAACGGACTGAGCCTGATGCTTCTGAGATCAGAGAGTGCAGACAAGTGGAAGGAAGTGACCACACAGAATGGCCTTATTCTCCACAAGGACAGGCTTTATTCTAAACAGCGAAAACAGCTCATGCTCTGCCATTTATAAGCTGGGTGACCCCCAGGGATACCAGGAAATGGCTAAGTCCACTTCATACAGGTTATGCTCAGGTCTGGCACCACTGACGCGTTGGCCAAGCCTGTGGGACTGACGTACCTCGTAAGAAGAAGGTGTCATGCTGGTCGCGTGCCGGGTGCTGCTGAGGCTGGAAGAGTGCATCGAAGTTCCAGAAGGAGCTCTCAATGAAGTTATCCGTGGGCATCTCAGTGAACCTGGTGGGAGAGGTGGCCTGACTGTGCTGCCTGTGTTTGTACCCCAGGCCGGCTAGGTCCCACCTCCAGTCCTGTGCTCACCCCATCTCTAGGAAGATCTGCCGGAACTGAGAGCGGACCTTGAGCAGGGGGTGCAGGTGGCCACTAGGGGGGAGGATGCCGTGCGCCGAGAAATTGTAGGGCTTGAAGGACCGGTCCCGCCAGGAGCCACTGTGTGTGGGGGGGGGTGTCCAGGGTCTGGTGAGGACGGTCTCCCCGTTGATCCTTGTACCCACCTACCTCGCCCACCCCTGGGTCCCACTGTACCTGGAGATCATCTCAGGGCTCAGCTCTGTCTCCTGCTTGGAGATGCTGGTGCTGAAGGCACTGCCTTTACTCACCCAGTAGGTCTTCAGGACCCTGTGGCCAAAGCAGAAGTGATGCTGCTGTTAACTTCCGCAAAGTGGCCTTCCCTATTTCCACTGCTGGCCCCGATGCCACCCACCACGTCACTCTGCTTTATTTTCTTCCTTACCCTTGGCACCAGCTGAAATTCTCTCACATTCACCTACTCATTCATTTATTCAGCAGAAACTTGAGGACATAGTGTGTGCTTAGACCAGTTCAAGGCTCTGAGGACACAGCTGGGAACCATGACAATGGGTGGGATTTAGAGAGGTCTTATTCTGTTCTAGAGTGTTCTGATGGAGCTGCCTGTCACAGACTGAATTGTGTCTCCCCAAAATATACATTTGTGATGTTTTAATGTGGAAACTGTGTAATGAGTCCCTATGATCTGACAAGAGCTGTAAAAAAATGAAGGGTAAAATACAAGATTCTAGGGAGCTCTGGTGGCCTAGTGGCAAGAAGCTGCACTGCAATCCCAGAGGTACAAGGTTCAAATCCACCAGATGCTCTGCTGGGGAAGGAAGGGCAATCTCCTCCTCCTTTGCCAATCAGATTCAATTTGATGGTGTACACACACACATACATCAATCTATAAAATACAACACTGTATTCCCAGAACAACCTATTCTTGTTCTCAGGTATTTCCCCTGAGACAAAGTCTATAAGGCTTTTTGTCTCTGGTGGTTTAGCTGTAAGCAGCTGTGCTGCCATCTTAAAGGTACATGGTTTGAATCCATGAGGTGCTCTGCAAGTGAAGGATGGGCAACCTCCTCCCACGTGATTAACTGCCTCTGAAAACCTGCTGGAGGGTCAGCTATGGGTCTGCTCCGACTCGACAGCACACAACAACCAAACAACAGAGAGGAAATCAAGTCTAGAGAGGGGACCTCAGTGTCACCAAGAAACCGTCGCCAGGAGGGGAGTGCACCCTTTTAGAACCGGGCCCCGAGGGAGCTCCTTCACACCTGGAAGGCCAGGACACATGGGGTTCTCTAAGGAACACCTAGCCTACACATGCTAAAGGAAAAAAAAAAAAACTTCCTTTCAGAGAGAGAGAGAGAAACAGACAGAGAGACACAAAGAGACAGAGAAAAAAAGACTTCCTTTCAGAGAGAAAGAGAGACAGACAGAGACAGAAAGAGAGAGAGACAGAGCATGCGTGCGCGTGAGCAAACTCTTCCCTATAATTGGCATTTAAATTTTTTGTACTAGCCTTCAAAACTAGAAGGGAATAAATCTGCTTGTTAAAGCTATCTACATTTGATTGGCTATCTTATAGTATTTACAAGATAACTAAGACACTGCTTTAGGCAAATCGAGCCAAGGTGATCTGGCCAAGGTCACACAGCCAGCACGGGCAGAGCTGGCTCCATTCTGCGTCCTCCTGTCTTCTGCACCAATGTCTGCTCTGATGGAGCATCAGCTGTGGGAGAGCACAGCCCCAGGTCCTCCATCTGGTTCATGGCTATGTGTGTGATCATAACCACAGGGTTCAGGACTCTGTCCAGTACAGCGGTTACTCAATAACCGGGGTACAGGAGGACGGGGGAAGACAGCCAGCATGTTGCCAGGACGGCCAACTCTGGGGCTGCACAGGTGACATGGACCTCAGCTTAGGGGTCGAGCCCACTCACACTTCAGACAGGAGCTTCCTCTTCCTCAGTTCACTCCTCTCCTTCTCACCCAATTTCTCAGCCTCCCCTTTCTGGACCAGGCAGAGCCGTCGTTGCACCTCATCCTCCACGCTGTCCACCTGCAGGGATGATTGGCCATGAGAGGCAGTGAGGAAAAGGCGTGCTCTCATCCACGCACCTACATGACCACTTTCAGGGACTCACCACTCGGAACACTCGAGGCCCATCAGCTGTGCTCTTGTCCACACGGATCCACTTGTTGGACATGGCCTTGCTGAAGCCCACTTTGCTGCTGGGCAGTCGCTGAAGGAGAGGCTGCGGTTAGTGGAGACTGAAGGTTTGCCTCACAGTTCTACCCCCAGGCTCTGCCCCCCAGGTCCCTACCATGAGCTCGCTCTGTGCCAGGCCGTCCAGAGGGATGCTGTGGAACACCCGGGCCTCATGGCTGCCCTCCCGGGCAATCTCCTCGCCTTCAGTGGTAAGCTCCCAGCGCTTGGAAGACCGCAATTCAGCCTCAATGACCTGCAGGAAAATGGGAGGGAGGCACACAGGCACAACCAGAGCTCAGAGTTTCGGTAGGCACTTCCTTACCAAAACAGAGAACAAGATTCAAAGTGCAACCCAACACCAGTCATTCGTGTTCATATCCCAGGTGTTTCATTTTCCAGCTGAGTAAATCAACCTCTGGAAGGATTTCCCACTTTGAGCTTGGTTGTGACAGCTACGCCTCCCCACAGCAAGGCAAAGTATTAAGGATGTTGCCTATCAAACAATAAGTTCTCACTATGACTTTTGAGCCTATGAAAGATTTGAAGGTCTTTGATTAAGGGAGTTTTGCCAGCATCTCAGAGTCTCAAGTGTCAGGAAGGTTCATGTGACAAATCAGGAACCTTAGGCTCTGGGATGTGGACAAGGGAAGGGTTAGCGGGCCCAGAGGTCTTCATACCCCTTTAGTACTAATCCAAGCTCTGTCCCTCACTTACTTTGTGACATCAGGAAAGTTGCTTAACCTCCCTGAGTCAGTTTTCCAATCTGTAAGAGAAGAATAATGATGCGCTCCACCTCAGAGGATTGCTGAGAGTAAATAAATAGCCTTAATAGACACAAAACTCTTAATAGGTGGTAAGCACTACACACATTATCATCATCATCCTGGATTGTCATGTTATGTTTCAGTCATTAAACTGAACTACATTAATTATTGTTATCACTGGCTCACAGGTTCTGTCACACTCTTGGCTTGCACGGAAGGGAAGCGTTTGAGCTGTGCATTAGTTCAAATACCTAATTTTACATTTTACCTGGCCTTTCTGAAAACAAGTTATCAAACAGTGCTGTCGTCAGCTGCCTTAGCCACAAAGTGGTGGTAAGAATAAGGATTACGGTTAAGGATAGGGCAAAGTGTGATCAGAATAGGTTCTGCCTTCTCAATCCAGCTTTGTGGGTCGAGGCCCTCAGCATTCACCTCCTGTGGCTCTTCGCCCTTGGCCTGACTCTAAGGCTGTCCCTTGGTTCTGCGTCAGCTGATTCCCACAAGCAGACACCATTTCTTCGATCTTGAGGAGGACCATACTCTTAAGTCCTTTCCCCCCGCCACTTTAGTCTTATCCCCTCACTTCCAGTACTGCCTTCTCCACATCCTCCCCAAATGTGACCGTGGCACCCCTGAAGCCAGCTACCTATGTGTCTTCCTGGCTCCAGTCCTGCCAGTACCCTGGGGTGATAATAACACGGACTCCCACATCATGGCTCTGCTGGTTTTCCTAACCAACCGTCTGTCCTTCCTCATTAGTCCTACCCACTAAGGTGCCAAGGCTTTTCATTTCAGTGCAGAGACCAGATCCAGCTGCCACCTTCCCAGGGGCCTTCCCAGCGTTAAACTGGGTCAGCAGCTGTCACCTCTGGGCTCTGTTGTGCTTCTCTCTCGACTGTGGACACCTGAGCATCTCTTCTATCGGATGTAACCTGCATAATGGTAGCTAATACATCTTGTCCAACATCGCACCCCACCACGCCAGCCATACCTCATTCATTCACCTTTGTTAAATGAATGAGCCCGAGTTAGACTCTCGCACCTTCAAGATCCCCGCCTGCACATCCCAGGCTGTATACGTGAAGTATATGGGTCCCCCTAATCAGGCAGGAAGGAGGTGGCTTGGTCTGGAGGTAGGGCCCGCCTGGCACAGCCACAGAATATACGGGGATCAGGCATCGCGGCCCGGGCTCACCTCGCCAAGCGCCTGCAGGCTCTTCACAGCGCCCACCACGGCTTGATGTTCCACGCCCAGCCGGGCCGCTAGCTCCGCGCTGTCCAGGCCTCCATCGGCCGCCTCCAGCTGCTGCAGCAGCTGCTTCGCCACGGGACTGTCCGCCATGGTTGCTCCCAGCACGCTCTGCGTTTCCCAGGCGGGCACGAGAAACCGGAACCGGGGCCGGGACCGGAACCGGAAATGCGTGCGGCGCCATCTGGAGTGTGGCACAGAGCTGGTGTGGGGGCCACATTGACGCCATCTTGAATGTGTCAGGTGCCTTCGGGAACTCTTGTTTCCACCGCCACCCGGCTTCCGATCAGTGGCGTCTCGCTGACCAGAAGGGTCAAATTGGTGACCTCAAGATAAAGACTTCAGCGTGTTTAGTTTTTCTCTGGCCCAGCTTCCAGTGGGCTCTGTGACCTTGGACTGCACCCTCTTTGGGGCTGGGTGCCTTCCACCCTTCCCAGATTTTCCCTCGCACTGGATAGGCAGGTGGGTAATGGCTGGAATGATGATCATTCTGCTATTGTCAGTTACTTTTAAAATTTAAAAGAGAGGCTGAATAAGGGTCATCTCCATTTACAGAGCAGGGAAGGGCTTGCCTAAAAGTATAGCTAATAGATTAACCTATACAGATTACCTCCTGTGTGCCTGGCCCAATGCTAAATACTTCATATATATTTTTCAATCTCCTTAAAACACTATGATGCAGATACGGATAAAACCTCCATTTCACAGATTATAAAACTGAGGCTCAGAGAGTGGTATCACTTGCCCAAGTTTCCACAATGAGTTGTGGAAGTGGGGTCAGAAATAATAAATTCTGGGGAGCTCTGGTGGCCTAGTGGCAAGAAACTGCAACTACAATCCCAGAGGTGCACGGTTCGAATCCACCAGATGCTCTGCTAGGGAAGGAGGGGCAGTCTCCTCCCGTACCAGTCAGATCTGATTTGACGGTACACGCACACAAAAATAATAAAAGAAAATATTAAAAAAAAGAAATAAATTCTATCTCCATATTCTGATCCCTTATCAATGTCAAGTTCAAATGCAACAGGATTCACAGCAACATTATAGGGCAGGCTTGACTTGCCCATAGGGCTCCCAATCCAGGTTATAGTTGTTTTAACATACATTCCATTAAAAGTTGCTGAATTTTCTCTCCATATTACACCTACAACATATCTCAGCATGGAGATACTTCTAGCCACATGTCACAAGGCCAAGAGTCACATGCTACTTCGTATCAACACAGGTAGACAGACTGAAATTCTAGCTCTGTCAGATCACTTAATCCTTTGTGTCTTGGTTTCCTCACCTGGCTGCTGAGATAAGCACTCAGGTTATTGGGAAAAGGAAGTAAAACAGTGCTCACACGTGTATGCTGTAGTAACTATGAAAACTAGTCAAATGTGGACCATGGATATTCTTCTGAGCAAGCACAATCATTCAACCATCACAGATACTTGAGTCTGTATAATGGGGTTCTTTATTATCACCAGATCCCGACTCTGCTGGCTTAAGGTGTTGGAAAGATCCTGATAAAAAATTCAGGAAATGTCCTTCAAAATCCTTTCTTTTCTTTCTCTGTTTTTATTTCATTCCCCACAAAAGTCCTTCAATTCTTTCTGTCATGCAGCATGACATTTTTAAGCCTGTTCTTTGGTAAGTGGAGCAAACAAGAGATGGATTGACTCAGTGACTACCATAATGGGCTCGAGTATAGCAGAGATTGTGAGGACAGTGCAGGATAGGGCAGAGTTCAGATCTGTTGTTCACAGAGACACTATGAGTCGTAATAAAATAACAACAGCAGTAGACTCTCGGGGGTGGTGAAAACATGAAGTGTCTGCTCGTAGGTAGGTATCACTAAGTCACTTTCCAAAATTCTGAGGACAGGGATGACAGGCCTGGGGAGTCTGGTGATAGTGGATATTGGTTGAAGAAAGGGGAAGAGCCTTATTTCTTCAAGAACTCTCTAATTCCTCCTTTTAAGCCTTCCCCACTAGAGGACTTGAGTCCCTTCCAGGATTCTCCTCCCCACCTCTTCCATTTCCATAGTGACCTACCCAAGTCCATGCCCTCAGTTCTTCTGAGAAGGAAACCCCCCAACCCTTCTTCCTCCTTTCAGCAGCCTGGGGACAGAGTGGTGAGATTAATCATATCCCTCTGGCTTCTGAAGAGCGTAGATCTAAGGGTCCAGCCTTTCTCTCTCTCTCCTGGCTTTATCTTTCGTACCATCTGCCTTTCTTTTTCCTCTCCAACGGCCCTTGCCCTCTTGCCTTTAGCCGTTTAATTGCAAAAGCCAGACGGTTTGTGGGAGACCACAAGACCCTTTTTATTTACAAGCCGAGGAGGGAGCAACTCCCTACAAACTAGGCTGACAGAGCTCCCTTAAGGTTTTTAAATTCCCTCCCCCCCAGTACACCCCTAAGAGCTTTGGAAGCATTTTTCTGTCAAGCAGAAGCTGACCAAGGTGGCCCCTCTTGGTCTCTCAGAAACTCCTGATTGCAGAAAGGCTGAATGGCTTGAGCCCTCGGTCACACAGCAGCCATCTGATGGGCTGCCAGGGTACTGGGGGTCGTAGGAAGGAGAGGTGGCATCCGCTTGGCTAGCCTCCAAGGCCGTAGTCTCAGCACTAGGGTGCACGAAAGCCCAAGGGCGCCCCAGCCCCTGAACTCTGCCCATATCATCGGAAGGAGCGCGCATAGGCGGGGCAGCCTGTTACAGGAATTGAGTTACTCAAATGCAGGGGTAGCAGTTAAGTGGCTTGGGAAGCAGAAAGGCTGTGACCAGCCAGCCCTCCTCGCGGGGGAGACAGAATGGTGTGCAGTTCGGGAAGGGAGACAGAATGGTGTGCGGTTCGGGAAGGGTCCCGGTCCGGTGCGGGAACACCTGCGCTCGCGCGGGTTCTTTAAACGCCCAAATGGGGAGCGAGGCGCGCGGCTCGAGGAGGAGCTGGGCTGCGGACTGATCACATGACCCAGCCAGCGGGGGCTCCCGGACCCCCACCCCGCCGGTGGGCGTCCCCCACAACGCGTGGTCGACCCTCATTGGCCAGCAGTGTGGCCAATAGAAATCGGCCATCTGGGATCCCAGCGTTCCGAGGCACAGCCGAACATGCTGGCCTCGCCAGGGCCCAATAGGAAAGGAAGGACCTGATCGCTGGCCAATGACGAGGCGCGTAGGGCGGGCGCGAGGGCCGGGCCGGGTTGGGTTGTAAGGCGAACGGATATAAAATCCCTCGGCCACCGACGGCGTCCGTCCCTACTGCAGAGCCGCTGCCCGAAAAGCGTCTTAAAGGGCCCGCGCGCCGCCGCCCCCTCGGCCCGCCATGCTGCTACCCGTGCCACTGCTGCTGGGCCTCTTAGGCCTGGCCATCGCCGAGCCCACTGTGTACTTCAAGGAGCAGTTTCTGGACGGAGGTAACTCCTGGTTCCGCCCCGAGGTCGCCCCGACGACACGGCCGGTCCCTAGTCCGGATCTGCCTTGTCCCCTGTAATTACCTTTGAGAGGACCAACACGGTGGCCCCGCAGGGGCCAGGGCCGCGGGCGATCTCTCCTTCTGCGTCCCTGGGGAGCGTGGAGGGCGCAGCAGCCTCCTGCAGCTGGAGTTAGGGTTCCCCCGAACTGTCAAACTGGAGATTTGCAGCGGCGCGGGGCTTGTGGGGGGCGGGGGGTGTCAGTGGTAACCAGACTTACCCTTAGCAGCTTGCGACCTCAGGCAGATGTGCACATGTTGGGGGGCGAGGGGGGTGGTTGGAGTCAACGCGGCCACCCAGACCTGCATCTCTGATTTTCTCAGATGGGTGGACTGAACGCTGGGTCGAATCCAAACACAAGTCAGATTTTGGCAAATTCATTCTCAATTCGGGCAAGTTCTACGGTGACCTGGAGAAAGATAAAGGTAAGAGCCCGCGTTTTGGACGCCCAGAGCTCAGAGAAC